TTGTAGGATCAAAGTGGGGGCTTGTGTATTAGTATTCTTTCCTAGCATGTTAGAAAATGGTCTCTCTTATCCTGGAAAAACTGGATTTTGGTGCTGGAAAGTCAAGATGTTGTATTGTAACGTTTTTTTTTCTACGCAGTCAACTACACACCAACAAATTGAGACTTATGCATTATAGACTTATTCATTATTGGTTGTTTTAAACTCATATCTTAAATTGCAAAGCCAATCACTCTGTTTTCTTAACACTTTTGAGAGACTAAAGAATTACACTCTCTATGATGATAAAGTCAATTATACCAGGGGCTGAAACATATAACTGCTACTGCACTAGAACAATCCAATAACTAATTGTTTGGTCTATAAAATGTCCACAACAGTTTCCAAAAATCTATTGTCTAACTGTCATAAACCCAAAAGGTATTCAGTTAAGTGATATAAAGCAAACAAAAGCAGCAAATCCTGGCGAGAAGCTAAAGAAATATGTGAAATACTTTATAAAACATTCTAATGGCTCAAAATTGAACAATAACTTAACAAAAGCATCAGAAAAGAAGATAAAATGCATCAAAGAAGAGCAGCTATGATCACCAGTTTCAGCATCAGCAGGGCCGAAAACATTCATATTAAGAGAGGCTAGAATTAGTAGGCTATAGAAAAACCTTAAGTGGCTACAATATGACAGCCACATAAAGCTTCATGCAGCTTAGTGAGATTGAACATCCCACACTCTGTACACAGTCCAACCCGTCTCATATCCACCCATCACTCTGCCCAGCTGCTGGCAGCTGTAAATCCACAGATTTATTTCCCTATCACGTCCTCCATATCCACGGAGCACTGTACACTTACTGTGCTAAAGGTCACTGCCTGCTGCTGTGCTGCTGCTGCTTTCTCTCCCCCCTCGACATGCAGTTTGTCTGACCTGGTTCGAGCTGAGATCGCCCATAATCCAGCCGACCTGTCGAGACCACAAGACTCTCTCTCCATGGGTCCTCCTCACTTTATTTACAGAGTAAGCAGAGGTAGCCCGGAGAGGACTGGAGGCATGCACACAAACCCCCTGACACATACAGTATACATAAACACATTCATGCACAAAAACATGAAAGGAGAGAAGTTGTCATTGGGACAGTAAGAGTGGACTTTAACACTCTACGATCCTTTTTAGTCAAGTTTGTCCATACAGCCTCACCATAAGCATGCCACCTATGGAAAGGCTTTGCAACAGAAATCCACCGTGACACCAACCAATCAATCAGAAAGAAGGGATGAAAACAACATCAAATAGTAGAAACATTTAAAAGTCCAATTCAAATGAGGATTGTATTACAGTGATTATCCAGCAACACATATTTCAGGCTTGATCTGGACCTTGATACACAGATTGAAGGCAGTGCACACCCTTACAATCTGTATGAGTGACATCATGCTCCTGATATTAATTAATCAATCATAAAAAAGTAATGTGATCAATATCAGAGGTCATATCTGGGGCGCTGGAGACCCTCCCAAATGTTCATGTGGAGACAGAAATGTGTTCTGGGTTATTCTGGGAGGAGGCCAGATCCAGGAATTCGTTTCACTTAATTAATCACACATATGTGTTTATTACTATGGGCTGCTCAGTCCTCCTGAATGTCCCAAATAAGCTAAATAAGTATGTGTAAAAAGAATAAGGAGCAACGTAAACATCGAAAACCTTTGCCTGCATCGAAGAAAAACAATAGTGATGTGGAAGCTCACTTTGTAGAATATAAAAGAAAATATAAATGTGTTTCACATCACTTATAATAACGTTACCATCTTTTTTACGTAGAAGAAACATATAAATAGGAGTCCAAATTTGAGAAATGGGATTAAAATCATCTTTACTGCACAGCATACAGAATATTTGTAATCCCTATGGACAAAGGAGTCTTTGAGGATTCTGTAAATACGTTTTAAAATGCATTTAATGTTGTCAAACACCCACTGGTTTTTTGAAAGATTGCCAAGAAAACCGATGCTTAGCTCTGTGGCTTAGTTTGTTATGATAATACTTGAGAGGCACAAACTGGGGCTATGCACTTCTGTACAATGCTGAATTGTGTATTGGGACATTAGGATAAGTAACACTTGGCTGTAGAACAAGCCTCAAATCTTGGGGGTTTTCTGCAGTAATGTAAGGAAATACCTAGAAATGACTCAGAAGTGGACTGAATCAAATTCAAAGAGACACTAAGTCCAGTTGGTCTTTACTGTGCCTTCTCTACAGGTACATAATATCATCCCTGTAGGGTGCAGATATGGGAAAAATCCTCAAAATATAGGAAGCACCGGCTGAATCACAAAAACAGGTTGATCTTTGAGAGTGGCTCCAAATTCAAGTTAGGGTGGAGGGCTCAATGGAGTAATTACATAACACAAAGAAACCCCTCTCTGTCTCTGTCAAGTTACCCAAGACTAGGCTCCTTTCATGCAGCAAGGGAACATGGTGACCGGAGAGAGAGGGACGATGGAGTCTGCCCACCCCTTTCATAGACTCAGAACAAACACTCACTATTGTCTCTTTCGTGGTTTGTATGCATTTGTCTTCACCCATGGTTATGAATTCCTAAAGTTCAATGAAGCTCAGCGAGGTCAACCGCCTTCACAAGTCCCAGGATGACCCTCTGTCTCGGCATGCTGACCGTACATGCAGGATTGCACAGGTAAGTGATTTTGACCCTCGTATGTTCACCCCAATAGATCCCTACACAAAGACACCATGTGGGAACCAGACCTTTGCCCGCACATAGAACCCTATTTTCAGCCGTGACCCTGTGACCTTTAGGACTCCGAAATATTGGGGCAACATAGCAAGGCAAACATTCAAACCCACAAGCCTATTCTTATAACTGTGAACACAGCTTGACCTGCATATTCACAGTGTGCCTTGAAAAACAAGCAACGACTCAGATTGCAAAAAAGGCAAATGAGGTAACAGCCAGGAGCGGAGGACGGCCTGTGGCCTCAGATGACGTTTCTGAACTCTATTTTACCATGTGCAACTATTATTGCAACAAAGAAAAAGAAATAATCGACATTTTTGGAAAACCACTTCTATGACAAGATAAAATATACTTTATTAATCCTAAATTGGCAAATGTTTTCATTGCAGCAGCATGTAAAACAAACATTGCATATTATATAAAATAAACAGTTGTACAATATAATGTGCTTTCTTGCCAAGAGTAAGACGGGGGAAAACTGTCCAAACCACTCTTCTATTTGAACATTAATGATAAGGAAACAACCATTATCATGTAACCCTAGATTAGCATAACAAATGGAAACTCGGAGAAAGAACTAGCCTAGCTCTGTCCTATAAAAAAAGATGTATTTTGGGGTACTGATGCCTTGTCGTAAAAACAAAATGTGTTTTTTTTAATGGATTCATCAATGTTAATTAAGAGACATGTTTATTTTTTGGGCAGTTCCAATATAAAGGAAAAGTGTTTTTCTCCCAAGTTTGTGTAAGCATGTCATACGCATTAGCCCTATTTTTGTACTAGGACATATTAATAAAGGCTTTTTTTAACCAGTGTGCCTGAAATGTATTTGTTTGAATTAAGCACTCTACCCACGGACATTCCCCTTTTATACAAAAATAAATATTGGATTTACTTTCCAAGAAGAAATGTGCAGAATATTATACACATTGGGCAAAAACATGGTTCCAGGCCATCTCAAAGCCGAGAGTATTAAGAGACGTTATTCTCACTAGTCAGGGGGGCTTCCTCTTCGAGAGGAGGGGGTCACTATGAGGAAAGCACTGTCTGTGCTTTCAAAGATTTTGTCTTTAATCAGCGGATCTGCCGGAATTAGAGGTCTGTCTGAGCCCAAGCCCCCTCCTTACCCCCTTCCATCCCTGACAACATGAGAAAGGTATGTGTGTGTTTGTGGGTGAACTGGTCAGGGGGGTGTTCAACTGTGGGACCAGAACAACATGAGCTGCCCCATTGGGCTCATAAATGCACCCTTTGGCAAGTCCATAGCAAATGCAGCTTAGCATAACTCAAAAATACCAGACGGTGTGTACTGCGGAGCACTGTTAAACCTGCAAAGCAGCTTTCTCCCTCTCATCTCTCCCTGCCCCTCTACGGCATCTTCCAAAAACACTTCCGCACAAACAGGAATTAATGGCGCTGCCAAACAGTCCATTTCCTCAGAATAACACCATTGCAGGCCATCAAAAATAGTCAGGCTTAATTTTGTTGATTATAAGAGGACTCATTAAGGACAACAGGCCACAGCTTAAACCACGCTGCAGGCTGGACTAATATTTGTTTTTGTTCTCTGCAAGGGGTAATTTTGACTGACAAAATCTATTAAATGAAAACTGTTTACACAATTGTTAATCATAAAAATATTCATCATGAATAAGAATGTATTTAAAGGCTGGTCTACTTCTTTCGGGGTTTATCAGTGTTAGCACAGATCAGACAATAAGGCTGGTTCAGAAAGAATTAAAACCAGCATGCATACAAAATCAAATGCAGCTACATGCCGTGACCTGAATCCAAATTGCACCCTACCAACACATCTGCAATACACCCTAAAAAACTGCGTGGCATACAGATATTGCTGACACTGATGTTAGAAGGCTGTACATATTCCATGTAATGTTACACCCATCTTATACCTGTGTACATATATTCTCTGTGCATGTATGCATGTAGTGGAGGGCTGGATTGGCAAATGCTTGGCTCTTCTAGTGTTCGAGTGTTAATGAGTTCATGGTCTCTCATCATGCCATTGAATGTAACCCACTTGACTAAACATGCATTGGATTTCCTCTACGCCGTGACTCAGCCACAATGTTTGCAATGCTTATGAAGAGGTGAGGAGAGGACTAGATGGCAGCCAAACAATACCTTTGGCACTAGTATCAAAGGACATATGACAGCCTGGTGCAGCTTAAAGCAACATAGAACAGGAAGCTGACCGTGTCATTGTTTTCTGTATGAATCTCCTACCTGGACGCCCTGTAGAATCCGGACGCATTGCTCCTTGACGTCATCGAAGGGACAGCGCTTGGTCAGCATGAGAAGGTGAGCCAGGATGTCATTCAGGTCACTTTTAAGAGGGCTTTTCGATGCTGGAGCCAATGTTGTAATGGGTCTGATGGTCTCCACTCTCCTCATGACGTCCTGGCGGATGTTCTCCATGGCTTCAGTTCTGGAGATGGCATCCCGGCTGCCGAGCTCTTCCCATCGCCCCAGAGACTCCTGATCCTGCACTTCCATCTTTTGATGTAGGGCTAACGTTTGTGCTGTCTTACAAAAGGCTGTGCAAAAAAATAAGACATTAAATTGTTTACATCACAGGATGAACTAAACTATCTTTATAAAAGGCATGCACATGTAATGTCATTCAGTGTCAAACATCAACACACTGACATCACACTAAATCCAAATGTATAGATACCACCAGGGTATAAATATTTATTTTCAAAGGGAATATTTAATTTAAAAACCTGGCCATTCATACCATGTTTTGTTATCGGATTTGTTGACTGTCAATCATGGGTATTTACCACAAAAAGACAGGCTCTGGCATAAATACAGCATGTTGAAAATACAAATGTTTGGTCGGATACCAAATTCCAAAAAAACAAGCCAGGTTAACATACGCTATATTGATGTTACAAGCCACCATTATTATGAATTAAAGAATGATTGCACATACTTTTTTAAAACAACAATGAATTGAGGTTGTTTTAACTTGTCAGTGAGTCCATTCAATCTGCTATTTTCTTCCTTTCGTGTCAAGGTTTTCAAGCAGCCAGTTAACAAAGACAGCAGTAAAAGTACACAAGAACCACGGTCAAAACAACATTCCTACACATCAACCTTTCACTGTGAGTCAAAAACAAAAAGTGTCATTCTCAAATACTCACTTTATCCGGAGCAGGTCTTCTGTTACGGGGCGCCTTGCAGCCACAGCACTGACCAGTAACGTTAGTCCCAGGCATAGGTCCCAGGGTAGAAACGACAGGAGGCAACAACTTTATGGTAAACATTTGATTGGCAGAACAGGATGTTCAATGAGAGGAGACCCTTGGAATTATAGGGCGGCACCTTGTGACATTCTGACAAATGATTGGTTGAAGATTTATTTCCAGCTAGCGGGAGAAGGTTTTATGGGAGTTGAGTTCTCTTCGTTCGAGGTGTCTTGTGGATGGTGGCACTTAAGAACTACATCTCCCGTCATACATTTCGCGGGCAGCAGCCCCCCCCCCCCCCCCCCTTTCTTGTTTATCAGAACATACTGAGAGAGAGACTGATAGAGAGAGGGAGATATGTTGTTGTGGTACATTTCCATTCATATGAGATTTACCCTCATTTGTGTTGAACTAAACCAGAGTATCTTAAATGTGTTTTTCAGCAAACGATGTATACAAGACAGAGAATATACCATGGACCCCTTCATTGGGCCTATGTGTCCCTTGAATACATTTAAAACATATAGTCTCAGTACTGTGAAATATCAACAAAAAATAAATGATTAGAAAGATATAAGAAGTGTCTTGAAAAGATTTGCAACATCTAACAGAATACCCATAAAAATGCATTCACACAATTTAATTAGATGAAAGTAACCCCTGACCTAAACACAATATCAAAGGCAAATCAAGAAAAAATTGCTTATTTGAAATGCATTTCAGAACCCAGACACACACACACAGACACACACACAGACACACACACAGACACACACACAGACACACAGATATATACACACACACACACACACACACACACACACACACACACACACACATAAACACACAAACAAACTCACAAAGGAGAACATGTTTAACTCTTAGTGCATATATAGTCTTAAACACATGACTACATACAATGTGTGAGATTAGATGTGAACTATGAAGAAGTATTTTAGATTTAAAATGTATATATTTATCGTTGAACTATAATGCCTTTTAAAAAACATTCAACAAATATTTTTACTTCATCCAAATATAAAATAGTTAATCAAATGTATCACAGACAGGTAAAATGATCTGTAAGAAGTTAAAATTGGATACGGATGCCATGCAAGTTTTTGTTATCGACAAGGGTGATTTTCTGCAAGACGAGCAAACAGAAAACTTTGAAAAACATTGCTCAAACCTGCAGAGGAACGGAAATACAGAACCAGAGTTACAGAAAAATATGTATTTCTCCTGGTGCAGCATCTATGCCTTTAGCTGCAGCAGGCTATTTGCATAATTCTGTGCAAATGTTTACTGGATGACTAAATCATTTACTAGCCAAAGGCACTTTACTAACCAACAATCATAAATGATCAGAAGATTGCTTCAAGAACGCTCAACTATTATGTTGTTGTTGAGAATGATGACATCTCAGCATAACATTTGGATTTCAACTTCCTATTTTGCAGTCTATGAGGGGTTCTTTCTTAAACACTTATTTTAATCCAGGCAGTCACTGCAGACACTGAGGTAATGTCCTGAGATTTGTGTTTATGTGGTAGAGAACATGGTCACATTTGCCATGTTTTAGTTCAAATGAACACTGGATAATATAGGCCTACAATACTATGTCGACCTCAACTTTAGGGGGATTGCTTTCTCCATGTACACTTAACATTTGTAACACTTTCTCAAAAAATAAAGGCTTTTAGTTACTTTTTCTGCATTGTCTCTAGAAATTGTCTAAAAGACGTGTTCTTTTCAATAAATGCTGCATGCAATACTCTTTAAGATATATACAATCCTAGCTATCGCCATGTTTTACTTCTACCAAAGGTTTTCGCAAGGTTTTCGATTTAGGTTTGGGTAAGGGTATTATTATAAACACAATGGGCTTTCACGACATTTAATCTCAAACATGTATTTTCTGCAAGCATCCTTAGGAGAGTTGCCAGTTTGAATCAGTGCCAAATGCCTGAAGGCCTAGAATTGTTTGTTTATGGTGGAAGGTGACTACTTTCGGATGTATTATAATAACGTATCATGGCGTCTTTATCAGATATCTTTAAAATACAGTCTGTGGTAATCTTGTTTAAAAAGAATGAGACACAGGAACGGGACGTCGTTAAGGAAGCAAACAGGGAAGGCGGAACCAATGTGATGAAGGCGGCAAAGAGGAGGGAAATTTAAAAAGTGCGGACTGCATGTCGGTGACAGCAGCACAACTGAGTGGCTCGAAGAAATCAGTCAGCTTGTAACAGAAAAACCAAGCAGTCGAAGAATATTATTACTATATATAAACATATTATTATTGTGTAGGGACTAGACACCTCATGTCACCAAATGGAGACTTATCAGAACCAGGTAACGAATCATCCGTTAGCTGCGGTTGTTGCTAACAAATTAGCTCTAACATTGTTTACTTTCGCCAAACCGGCGTTGGCTGCTAATTTGAGGTTATCTGAAAGAGCTTTTCTACTGATTTTGTTGGGTATGTTTATCGAGCTTCGTTTACAAGAGGGTAGTTGCAAAGGGCTTTACTGATTTTTGATAAGATAACTTATTATCGAAGTGTTATTTGTAAACAGAACGGTTGGTTTTAGCTTCCGTAATGTTAACGTTTGCAGAAAGCTTGGATTACGTTAGTTATACATGTTCTTAGACCTCATCTTGGGCTGTGGGAACTTTTAATAGGCACTTATTAATAGCTTGTTTTGTATTGACCAAACAGTTATTCGTTGATTAACCTTCTCTACCCTTTTGTCTGTAGACATTGGACTCACCCTCCAAAAACAGTTACATTGGGAGCTATTACCAGCCTCCAGACCGGATGCGATCACTAGCAAGACAGCTGGAGTTTCAGGCTCACTCATCAATCTGCATGGAACCACAGATAACCAGCCCTCGAGGGTCTCAGACCAAAGCTAATATTGACAGCACAGGTATGGGAAATACTTTTGTCTGTAGCTACCTTGTACAATGAGTTATATTTATATCCACCTTCCACAATTTTAAGTCCACCTTTATTTATTTCAGCTGTTGTTGATGCACTGAAGACCCTCCAGGAGAAAATCAGGCGATTGGAGCTGGAGAGGAAGCAAGCCGAAAAGAGCTATAGTCAATATTCCCACGATGTTCAGAAGCATCAACAAGTCACGGCATCAGTACCCAGTCAAACAGCAGCAAGCGTGCCTGAGACAGAAAACTCTGGCAGGAAAGGTAAGTGATGAAGGCGTCAGAGGGAATGGCCACGGCAAATGCAACGTTTTTTTCTGTGTTTGTAATAGTTGTATCTGTTTTCATGATAACAGAGTTGGACTCAAAGCTGCAGTCTGCAGAGGCTCGGTGTAAGGTTCTTGAGAAGCAGCTGGACTACATGAGGAAGATGGTTGAAAACGCTAAGAAGGAGAGGTATGCCCTAAAGGAGAATCAGGTAATTAAAACATTCAACTAATACTTTTCTTTCAAAAATAGCTTTCATACAGGCATGAAGCGCGATTTGCAGAGCCAAGCTAAAACTGCACAGACCAAAATAACCACTAAGGCTCTTAAGTAAAAAAACAGACTTAACATTATATAGAGAAATATAGTGTGGAAAACAGGGTCAATATCTTTCAAACAAGATTTGAATAACTCTTTTAGGTGAGGTAGAGGTACCAAACATTTGTAAAATCATAATCTGTGTTTTATTAATTCCTATCATTTCTGGATGTATATTACTACGTCTATATAATCTCTGTTTACTCCCGCTCAAGGCTTCACTGCAGAAACAGCGGCCAAGCAGCTCAAACTCCCAATCTCAGCGTGAGAAGCTAGATAAACTAGAATCAGAGTGTATCAAATTGAGTCTGACCCAAACTCTGGCAGAGGTAATTCCCAGTTTTACCATTTTGTCTAAACACTGATCATTAGAAGCTGAGTGATAAGATTATTATTTGAATGCAATTTCTCTCTTTCAGGCAAAGCTTGCCATTCTGGAGCAAAAACTCCTGCATGAAGAGCATGAGCGTAAACTTGTGCAAGTGAAAGCAGACGAGGTTAGTCCACACACACTTCACTTTTTCAATCAGCTAAACAAATTTGCACATTTCTTTGCACAAAAGGCAGAACAAGTTAGCAATAGTTTAAAAAAAATGCAATCATAAAATACTGTATGTCTAGTAGCTTTTAAGTTACACTGTCTAATAATGGTTAAATGCCAACACAACCTTAAAAAGACTGACTTTAATGTGTTGCCACTATTGCCACCTCCTCAGCTGCAGAAGGAATTGAACACCAACTTGCGATTATCTCTGCCAACAACTGAAGAAATAAAGCCAAAGAAGAAAACAAAAAAGACCACCAAGGTAGCTTTTTTACAGATAAACTCAATAACTGCCTGTATTCATCTTATGAGAAAAAAAGTTGTTGTAATGATAACAGCTGTCTTATATCTCCAGAATATCTCCAGAGAGAAAGAGCTGGCATCACCAAGCGGCCCAAGGCACAAAATAATGCCCTTTGTTGCAGGAACGGTAAGTCAGTTCTGATGCTCTGCAATAACAAACCCCATATTATAATGTTCTTCCTTTTTTTGTATTGAATTTAATTTGATTTTCTATTCCTGTTGCAGTCGACCAGCCCGAGCCATTCAGTCCACGCCAACATACAGAGTATCCTTCACATGATGAAGCACCATCAGCCCCAGCTGTGTGAACGAGTGAGCGCTCTGCAAAGGTCTGGTTGTGCGGCCAAGAAAAGCCTCCAAAAGGACTTCTCTCCATCTTCCACCACCTGTGACAAGCCGGACAGGGACCCCCAACGAGCGCATGAGTCACTTGGCTCGCTGTCTGACCTGCTGCTCGCTCTGCAGGACGAGCTAGGACAAATGAGCTTGTAAGTAAGCTTTGTTATACTGTTTAACATTTTCTTTAACATTTGGTAATCTGTGTGTTTTTGTTGTCAGTGAGCATCAGGAGCTGGTGCATCAGATAGATGCAATGCAACATGGCGAGCAGATGCAGGATCTGCAGAGAGAACTGGAGAGGCTGGTCGCCAGGATGGAGGAGAAGGGAGCTCAGATCACT